CAGTATCACAAATAATTTTGTCTTAATACGGCATCCCAGTGTTTGGCTTTAACCCCTTCATGACTGAGCTAGTTTTTAGTTTGTTCCTAAAATGACTGACACATTTTTGCTGTGATTCTTCCACAGCAGGAAATTGATTATTTTTAGAATTTTTTTAAATAAATTATAGTATAAAAATATTTATATATAAAAGTTTTATTTTCCTAATTTTTTGTACACTTTATTTTTTTACACTTTGTAAAAAAAATAAGTGTAAAAAAAAAATGTCACAATGACAACTAAAAAAAGTTAATTTATTAAGCAATCAGGCTGCTCCAAAGTTAGGAACAGCCAATAATAACTTCAGAGACTGATCCTGACAGCATGTCAGAATGAGATCTCATTAAAGGTCTTTGATCGTTCCTAGACGATCAAAACTGATACATTTCACTGAAGAGATACATTTTGTATCTAGTGGTTAAATTGTATCATTTAACATGGGCCAGGCTATACACATCTGTCAAAAAGAATAGCAGAGGTGAGTCACTGCTACCTCTCTATCTTCAGCTGTCAGATACGGAATCGCTATTTAGCGAACCCGTATCTGAATGTAAAGGCTTCATTCTTTCATTAATGAAAGAAAGAAGCTTTTACAAAAGCTTAACTATTTCATTAATGAATGCCTCAATAGTTAGGCATTCATTAATGACGAACTGCTGAGAATCAGCAGTTACCAGCATTACAGAGGCTAATATAACTCGGCACGTACAGTGTACGTGGCCAGTCATATAGCCACTTTGTGACGGGACGTACACTGTACGTCTCCTGTCACGAAGGGGTTAATGCTGGGCTGACACATTTATACAGCCTTTGCTGCTGTTTGCAACTAGGAGTCAAGGAAGGGCTCCCAATTATGTCATCACATGACTGGCTTTTGCCAGCTGGAAAGGGTTAATAAATGTTTCGTTATTACTTACCGATAACGGGATTTCTACAAATCTTCCAGGACAGCAACCTGAGAGATGATTGGCTCCTCCTCCAACAGGAAACACAATTAAAAAAAGGTAGTTAAATACCTTCCCACCCCTTCTCAGTTGTGATAAAAGTATACTACCACCAGTGTTCGAGGTAACACTACACTCAATACAACCACAGCTGTACAAGCACAAATTAGGGTGGGAAGTAGGCTTGCTGTCCTGGAAGATTCATAGAAATCCCGTTATCGGTAAGTAATAACGAAACATTTCTTCTTCCAGGCCAGAAATCTGAGAGAATAACCAAGTACAGCCCCAGCAAGCATACCTTCTCAGGGTGGGACCACTGCTTGAAGCACCTTACGGCCAAAGGTGAGGTCCTGTTGCGACAATATCTCCACCCGGTAGTGCTTCACAAAAGGTATCTTGTAGTGACCAGACTGCCGCTTTAAAATCTGATCCACTGATGCCCCAGCCTTTTCTGCCCAAGAGATCTGGTGGAATGCGCTTTGACAGAAGAAGGTACCACTTGGCCCTCCGAATGATACACAAACGTAATCACCTCCCTAATCCATCTGAATAGGGAGGCCTGCAGACCCTTCCTAGGCCCTGCATACAGGACAAACAGGTGACTGGATCTTCTAAATGACCTAGATTCCTCTAAATATTTAATCTAACATCTTCTAGGGTGTGAAACTCCCGTTCTTTCGGATTCCGAGGAGAATCGCAAAAAGGCAGGACAATGTCCTGCGACCTATGGTACCTGGAGGAAACCTTGGGTAGGTACAACGGATCAGGTTTCAAAACCATCCGATCCAGTAATATCAGTAAATAGGGTTCTTTAATAGAGATAGCCTGGAGGTCTCCAACCCTTCTAGCTGATGTAATCGCTAAGAGAAAAAACATTTTCAGAGAGAACCACTTTATCGAAACCTCCTCCAGTGGCTCAAAGGGCCCCCCAACACCAAGGACAGATCCTGTGGAGGAAAAGTCTTATCTCGCAGGGGCCGAGAACGCTCCCCTGCGACCAGAAATTGTTTTACCAACGGTTCCTCCAACTTTAAATCCAAAAATACAGAGAGGGCCAAAAGTTGAACTTTTAGAGTATTGACTACCAACTTTTTATCCAGACCGTCCTGTAAAAATTCGAATACAACTGGAACCGAAGGTAAAGCGATACTCTTGCGTTTACACCAAGTGGAAAAAACTTTCCAGACTTTGCCATAAATTTTTCTGGTCACCATCTTCCTACTGGACAAGAGAGTCTCAACCACTCTGTCCGAACAGCCCTTCAATTGCAAAAGACACCTCTCAAGAGCCATGCCTTCAATTGTAAGAACCCCGGGTTCGGCTATAGAATCGGCCGCATGACACAACAGATCCCTTCTCTGCGGCAGACCCCAAGGAGGCTGTACAGACATCAGAAGTTCCGAAAACCATGGTCTCCTTGGCCACCATGGAGCAAGCAGAATCAGGGTACAGGCTGACCTGCCCAGTTTCTGAAGAACTCGTGGCAGCAGAACCATAGGAGGGAATGCATAGCCCAAACCGAAAGCCCAGTCCTGAGCTAGTGCGTCCACCCTTTTGGAATCCACTTCCCTGTAGAGGGAAAAGAATGTTGACAGCTTTTTGTTGCTGCTGTCTGCAAACAAATCCACCTCCGGCAGTCCCCACAAGGCGACTATCTGTGCACTGATGAAGTTCCCCAATTGCCCTGAGAAATGGGCCTGCGGCTCAGAAAATCTGCCGTCTGGTCTGCCTTATGGGGACTGCCGAAAGCGAACAACCCTGGGATTCGGCCCACTGAAAAATCTCCTCTGCCACCTGCATCAACCCCAGGGACCTTGTCCCCCCCTGACGATTGATATAGGCCACTGCCGTAGAGTTGTCAGAGAAAACTTGGAGCTCTCTTCCCATCAACTTTGCCTGGAAGGCCCGCAGCGCCTCCTTCACTGCCGAAAGTTATTGGAAATTGGAAGAGGCCCCCACCAGGTCCCGAGGCCACACCCCTTGTGCCTGCAGACCCTGCATGTGGGCCCCCCAACCACAAGAACTGGCGTCCGTAGTCACATGCACGGGATTTGTCTGACCCCCATAACCTTCCCTCCAGCAGCCTCTCGACAATCACCAAACTAGGGACTCCCGAACCTCGCTTGGCAGATGTACCCTTTGCTCCAAGGATTCTTTCCTTCTGTCCCATTGTGACAGAAGGAACAACTGCAGCCGCCTGGAATGAAACTATGCCCAGTTTAGAGCAGGAATGGCCGAGGTCATGACTCCCAGAAGCCGCGTGACTCCCTTGAGGGTCAGCGCCCCGACCGGGCTGTCTGAGTCAAGCTCAAAAGCTTGCTCACCTTCTTCCCTGTCAAGAACAATTTCCCCGCTACCGAGTCTATTCGGTAGCCGAGAAACACTAGTGACTGAGCTGGCGTAAGAACAGACTTCTCTTGGTTTATGATCCAACCCAAAAGATTTAGCAAGTCCTGGACCTTCTGTAGACTGTCCAGAACTGCCCCTTCCGAAGGACCATAAATCAGCATGTCATCAGACACATGCCCTGGAGGCACAAAAAGGCGACAGGCTCGGCCAGAATTTTCGTGAAAATCCTGGGAGCCGCCGAGAGGCCAAAGGGAAGTGCACGAAACTGCCAGTGCTTGATTCCCTGCCCTGTTTTTATCGCAAATCGCAGGAACCTCTGATGATCCTGACAAATAGGGATGTGTAGGTACGCATCTTTTAAGTCCAGGGGTACCATAAATACAGACTTCTGAAGAATCCTTCGAACCGAATAAATGCTCTCCATTTTGAAATGCTAGAATAGGAACTGATTCAACTTGCTCAAATTTAGGATCATCCTGAACTTTCTGGATGGCTTTGGTACCAAAAACACATGGGAGTAAAACCCTAGAAACTGTTGATCCCCTGGGATAGGCACGACCACATCCTGGGAGCCCAAGAGCTGTATGCAACCTAACAAAGCCTGTGCTTTCAACTGGCTTCTTGGCAATGTCGTCAGATAAAATGTCTGGGGAGGCTGAGCTAGAAATTCCAAATCGATAACCCCCCTGTAGAAGGGCTATCACAAAAGGACTGCATGCGATTTTCTCCCAATGAGAAACAAAAAGTGACAGCCTTCCCCCCCTACCTTTGAGACGGCGTCACTTGGACTCTCAGGAGCTGAGAACAGCAACCCCCCCTCTGGGCTTTTTATTAAAGGGCCAACCCCGCTTCTGAAACTATGGTTTAGTATTCGGTTTCCGCTGCTCCTGGGAGGGACGAAAAAAATGCTTATTGCGCACCCTTTTCTTCTTCTCTGAGAATTTCTTCCCCTTCTCAGAAGATCTGGTCAACACCTCATCAAGACCGGAACCGAACAATAGACCACCCTCAAACGGTAGAGAACAAAGTCTACATTTGGATGTCATGTCACCCTCCCAAGACTTTAGCCAAATAGCCCACCTGGCGGAATTAATCAGAGCCCCTGTCCTAGCTGCCGCTTTGACTTCCACCAAAGCGTCTGCCAGGTAGGATACTGCCTTCCCAAAGACAGACCGGGATTCTAGGACCTGTTCTGCCGGAGCCCCCTGAGAAACATGTAAGGCCACATTCTCCAACCACAGGTCCATATTATGAGCCACACACGTGGCTGCCATGGCAGGGGCCATGGAAGCCGCGTTAGCATCCCACGCCCTACCTGGTAGAGCCTCAGTCTTCCTGTCCAATTGATCTTTTATATTCCCTGCATCTTCAAACGCCAGACGCTTTAGACACTTGGGCTAAGGCTGCATCCAGCCTAGGGCATTTGAAAAAAATGTTCTTCCTCGTCCTTGAAAAAAGGAAACCTTTTCCAGGACCTGACCTGGAAATTTCCTCTCTGGGTCCTTCCATTCACCTTCCACCAACTCCTTCAGAGATTGGTGGACTGGAAAACATCTGCCCTGTGTCTCAACCAAACCCCTATAAAGCCGATCCTGGACCGACATAGCTTTAGGGGGATCCAGGATCTGCTCCGTAGCATATACGGCTTGCAGTAAGAACTCCATATCTTCAAGCGGAAACAGATGCCTAGCCGGGCAAGAATCCTCCCCCTCCCCTCGGGTCTCCCACTCTTCCAAGGAACTACCCGAAACCCCTTATCTTCCTCTTGTGCCACCCTAGGAAAAGACACTGCCTTAGAGTGCAAGCCTTACGGACCAGGCATCTCTGGCACCCCCATGAGAGCAGAGGCAACAGGCACTGTCCCACAAGCAACCTGCTTAAAAGACTGCATGGTTGTCAGCATCTCTGTCCTGAAAGAGTCAAAAAAAAACAAACACCTTTCATTAAGGTAGAAGACTCAGCAGCCACAAATTTGTACATGCAAGGCTCACAGAAGGGCTTAGGGAAATTAGGGGGAAGCTTTACGTTACAATTGCCACAGCACTTTCTGTTCTGCTTAGCAGCTGGGGCAATCAGTGGTACTGAACCAAGGGGTGGAATCTTCTCAGAGGGAGAAGGATCCTAGGCAAAAAAACAAAAACATGGTTACCCAGGCCTCCCCTTAGTATTCCACCCAGTCACCATTTACACACAGAGGTCACGCACAGCGGAAGTGACGACATAGGCGGCCGCCGGATATGACACCCCGCCGACGTCCCTGGAATGCATGACACACCCACTTCCGCGTTCCACCGCCGGACTCCGACCCCACGTGCAGCCGCCAGGACAGGGCACCGCCGGGGAGCTCCAGGACTCCACCCCTCAGCAATGGGAGAAGAACCTGGAGAGAACGAAGGGACCCCTCTGCCTTCACAGCAAGGCGCCCGGCACCACACAGACCTACACGCAGAGCTGCCCAGAGGGGAGACCCGCGACCACAAGGCCGACCGGTCAGGAAAATAACAAACGTGACGAAGGTTCGTGGACGGTAGGAAACACAAAGAAAGAAGGGGTGGGAGGGTATTTAACTACCTTTTTTAATTGCGTTTCCTGTTGGAGGAGCCAATCATCTCTCAGGTTGCTGGCCTGGAAGATGATTGGAGAAAAGTACACATTCAGAATAGTAATATATTTAGTTTGGTAAAGGGCTGTAGTGTTTAGTAACCCTAGGAGGTGGATTTACCAAGATTAAATTTTCATCTTAGCTGTTCACTTCAAATACGGATTGTTTTTTTCAGTGAACCTCATTGCAAGTGAATATGAAACTTGGTTTACTATTTTGACAACTGTGATTGGAGCGCTTCATTTTGCCTGTATTCTGGGCTGTCCCATAACGGGGAGATCAGGCATTGTGCACACATGCTGTAAACAGAGGGACTTTGCAGCCATCCGCT